AACCCACTGTGCCACCGGGGGCTCCAATGTCCATTGGTGATACTATACTATATGATCATGATAGTGATAGAAGTGGTGCAGATGGGGAAAATATAATTTCTTTATTAAAACAAAGGGTCACAAAAACTCAAAACAGGTGTTAACATGGTATGATTTCAGCCTGGTGCTCTGCATGAATATTTAAAATAAAACTGCTGATAATCCTACTGATCTCATATAAAGCTATTTCAAAACATTACTTTGAAAACTAGGGACCTTGTCACATGGTCCAGCTTTTGTTGGTGAAAGGGAAGGTGCATAAGGTGACTCGTGGTACCTAGTGTGTTCTCCCTCCTCCACTCATCACACATGGAGGGCGGGAAGAGTGCATTGGCACTCTTTCCCATCCCCATTGCATAGCAAAAACAGTGGCAACACACAGCAATGCATTTGTCCCATCGCCCTTTCTGCCATTACATGGGCTTTTGGGGCCAAAAGTGTGAGTAGCTCCATTGGAGCTACCTGCATGATGTTTTCCTCCCTGTAGTGGAGGGCAAAGCACCTTTTGACAGTCTGCCTCCATGACAGAAAGTGGCCAGGGCCTGCTATGCATCATGTGATGGCGCACGGAAGGTCCCGTCAAAGCTGCAGCAAAATGGGGCATTTTGCCCTGTGTGAAGAGGTCCTATGTGTAGTTTTTGCTATTATCTTGACAATTGGATTTTGTATATGTGTACCTTCAAGTCAGCTATCAACTTACAGTGATCCCACAAATTTCCTAGATCTATTGTAGAAAGCAAATAGGGGGTTGACGAACTTCATTAACAAAAGAGAATAGCCAGTATCCTATTGGGTATTTCCATACCATTTAACACTGCAGGTACAGTGCTATACAGTGAATCCCATTCTTATTTCTCCTGCAGTTCCTACTTTAAAGAAAGGAACTCCTGTGATCAGTAGGGGTCTGTTTCCCTTCCCACTTGGGAAGCAGTTGGCATATCCATTGCAACAAGCATAAGCAGGCTTTGTGTCACAAAGGATAAATGTTGCACTAGAAGTTGGGAATGAAGATAGAATGCTAATGGGCAGAAACACAGCAACTTTGGTCAAGACTATTTTCTGGACTACAACCTAAGAATTCTTTTTTTTTGTTTACTTTTTCAGAAAACGTTAGTTGTGATGGGTTGTTTTTCTTTCAATCCAGATACTTGGTATACCTTTAAGTGAGAATTGAGCTTCACCATACATATACTTGGAGCTTTGTGCTGGTCAATGATCCTGTATTTATTATCGGGTGGGACAACAGTTTTCTATGGAAATGAAGTGAATTCCATTAAGTTTAAATTAGAGTTTGCTGATAAGTGTAGTGGAAAAAAGCATTCATTAACTGAAAGACTTTCTAAGCCTTTCAAACATTATAGAAGAGAAAAGGCCTGTTAAACTGCAAAAAGGAGAAAAGACCGGGTAGTCAGGAAAGTGCCTTATTTTAGTAGCTTCATTCATATACTTGGGGTTGATAATCTTGATGCTTGGTATTATTTAATGGAAAACTGACAGTATAATAAATCATTGAAATGATTTGATGTCTTTCATCAATAAAAAAGTATCAACACTGAAAGGCAAAAAGGAAAGGCAGCTGCAAATTAATATCTCTCTCTCTCTCTCTCTCTCTCTCTGTGTGTGTGTGTGTGTGTGTGTGTATATATATATATATATATATATATATTAGTGAATATTGAATAAGAAAAGGGAAATGGAAAAGAAGTAAAAATATGAAGTACAAAGCAAAACTTTTTAGTATAAAATCTAAACTTTGTCATTTTTATCTGTATTTTATGCCTGTGCAAACTTGCACTCATGTACTGCTTTAGCAGAAAACCTTTCAAAGGCTGTAATTTGCCCAGACTGGTGTAGCAGGAATTTATTTTTGTCTTGCCAGAAACATGCAAAACTATCATATGAAAGGTGGAAAAATGCAGCTTTATACTTGCAAGGACTTTTAGCTGTATCAGAATGGCATTTTCACTATATATTCTCTCATAGGACCTCATCACATGGGGCAAATTTAGCATCCTAAGATGCTTTCACTCTGTCTTGGAACGGAGCTCCACGCTGGAAATCACATAACATTGTGTGACTTCCAGCAGAGGCCCCACCCCCAACCATGGTGGAAGTGTCCTTGGTGGCTTCCCCCAAAACACAGGAGCCTGTCAGTGTTCTCCTGGCTCCAATGGAGCCAGCACAGATCTTCTGCAGAATGGCAACGCTTCCCATGTCTGATGGGGAAAGTGCCACTGAGAGGGAGCTGTGCCTGGGGCAACAGATTAGCACTGTTGCTCCTCTCTTTTTGTCACAATGCCAGGTAAAGCAGGAAGCTTCACCTGGCCTTTCTGATGAGGTCCTCTGCCTCTATGCATTTAACCTGATGAAGTGCTCCACTTGAAATGTCTAGGACAGTAGTTCCCAACCTTTAGTCATCTAGTTATCTGATATATCAATTCCTAGAAGCGTCAAGCAATTTGGCCAACAGTAAGGAATTCTGGGAGCTGAAGTCCAAAGCAGCTGGAGGACAAAAGTTTGGGAACCACTGGTCTTGGATATTTATTGTTTTAATAATTATTTCAAGAATTTATGCAAGTTGAGTCAACTATGATAGTGAGATGGTGCTGAAAGAGCCAGTCTCATAGAATCATAGAATTGGAACAGACCACAAGGGCCATCTCAGTTTGACCATGCCTAGAAGGCTGGATCTACACTGTCACATAATCCAGATTATCAAATCAGATAATCCGGATTGTGTACTTTGAACTGGATTATGTGAATCTACACTGCCATATAAAGGTCCTTTCTACACAGGTTATAAAATGCAGAAGAAACTAGAATTTAAAAAAAAATGGGTGGCTAGATGATATTTGCAGTAAATGCACTCTGAATCACCTTAATGGCCAAAAACATGTTTTAAAAAGGTGTGCTTAATATGTGATTTGGGCTAAAAATGTGCATATTCGCATTACTGTATATCCTGCAGTCAAGAAAAACATGTGATTTTATTGTGTTATGCTGGTGTGGACTGTACCAGCACATTGGCACATTTTAAAATCCAAAAACAGCTGATGAGGACTGTAAACAAATGAAGTTATGAACACACAGGTGGCTAAATGGAAGCACAACTGGAAAACAATTTGCATGAGAACACTCTGTAAGCATTCCTTTGTTCTGATGTTTATGAAATTAAACAGCTTGAATTTATACAGTGGGCACCAGCATGTCAGGCAAGTGATCCCAAAGGGAAACAGGGTTCAAGAAGGAAAAAGTAAAGGTAGCAGGAGGGTGAGGAGAGATAATGAAAAGAAATCTCCTTGTGTGCACCTTCTTATATCTGCATCAGCGCTTAAGAAGTCCATTGCATCTCAGAGAGTCAATAAAAAACAATTAAAAGTAAACTTCCACCGGATGTTCCACATCCATCTTGCGGATTTCTGAAATCCACTACCAGGGTACGCTTTACTGGGACTGACAGCTCCATGTCTGGACTCTCCTTAAGGTCCCATGATTTTTAAACCCACTTATTTGTTCCTAAGAGCCCTTCCAGACAGGCAAAAAATCTGAGAGAAAATAGGATTTTAAATCCCATTTCCTCTCAGGAAGGAGGCCACACAGCTGGCCCAAACCCTGGGATTTTGCAAGGGTGGTGGTCAGATACTCACCCCCGCTGATCCAAGATCAGCAGAGATGGGCAGGGGCACTGACCCTGATAGCTAGTCACAACTGCCAAAGTTATACGAGTACCTCTGTAGGGATCATACATGTCATACTGCAGTCAAGCATTGGTGAAGGACTTCCTCTATCCAAATGACTGAATTCTGATTGGTTTTGGTGCTCAGATCTGTAGTGACATCAGTGTCACCTTTTGCAATGTACTGCTGTCAAATTATTAATGAACAATTTGTCTGAAGTATTAATATTTTCAAAATATTTTCAGAAATACTGTACTGAATGACCTCCACCAAAACATATTATTCAAGCATAGCAACAGATTGTGTATGTGATTCCTAACTCTCATTCAGATTAACAGATGGTCCTTTTTGTCACACTGACAACAGTGGAGCATTAGAATGGTCTTAGATAAGATGAACATTCATGTAGTCCAGGAATCACTTCCAACAGCAGGCAGCCAGACACCTTTGGAATCTGACATATAGGACACAAAGGAGGTTGTTATCGACAGCACCTGTGTATTAAAGGTCTCTAAAAATATCCATAGCACAGAATTTTCAGGGTTGTTAACTGTTTCTCAGAATGATAACACCCAGAAAACCTTAGATAGCATGGCCATTAGCCATGTTTACTGAAAGATTCTGGGGTTTGTACTTCAAAAATGTCATTTAAAATGTTCCCTTGAAAGAAGAAGAAAAAGTGGTAATCCATGGATTGTCACCACAACTTCTAGTGATGTATCTTATCAGGGAAATTTTCTCTGAAGTGCTTTCTCTTGTCTCTTCCAAGCCTTACTATGCCATGATCTCTCTTTTCTAGATTGTTAAAGCCAACATAGGCACCATCACTTTTGCATATGATGGTCATACTATTGGTCTACAAGTCCATCCCTTTGCTTTAATCTTACATTGGTGAAATTGATTTTTATATTACATGAAAGTTATGCTACCTATGCATCATTTGTTGAGTGTCAAAGAAGAAAGATGCCAAAACTTTTTTCCATCACCTGTGTAGGTAATGCATTTCTTCCTTCCGATTGACTTATAATAAGCTTTTATGGCAAGATTTATTCTAAGGTTTGACATTGCCTTCCTCTTAGGTAGAAAAAATACAATTTGCCCAAAGATCACCCAGGGAATTTCCATGCCTAAACAGGAATTCAAATTTATATATGCAGTGAAACTGCATGCTTTTGAATGTGGTGATAATCTTGATCTGTGTTTAACAGTTTTCTCACTGTAGAAACAATGGCACTAAAATCTGAAATTTCCAGAATGGAATATTTCTTTTTATTGCATACCTACCTGCTGATGTTTGGACAATATCAGAAGTATTTCTGAGACCCATGAAGTCAAACTGATACAGTCTCCAAGATTTCTGGTCTGCTGCTTCTACTGAGTTTTTTCTCCACCGGTAAATCATTTCTTCTTGAGGATAGCCATCTGTAAATTAAAAGTCTTTATTAAATACTTTGTAAACTCTTGGTAATGTTAAGCTTTTACATTTATGTTCACAATTTTAATATAACATTACATAGTAGAATTTAATGGCTCTTCAACATTACTGACTATAAAACATAATAATAATAATAATAATAATAATAATAATAATAATAATAAAACTTTATTTGTACCCCACTACCATCACCCCAAGGGACTCGGTGTGGCTTACATGAGGCCAAGCCTGCAGTACATCAATAAACAAAGGCAATAACAAATAATCAATACAAAACAGTTAAAATAAATCTCATAAACAAAAAATACACAGTAAACAATAAACAATAACAATAACATACAAGCATTTAAAACCTATGGCCGGGCCAAATGTAATAATTAAAATTTAAAAATATTTAAAAATAATTCTGGGCATGAACAAGGTAGGGTATAGCTAGGATAGGGCTTTCAAAGAAAGATGAGGGCAGGCAGACAATCCTAAATCAATATTAAAGTGCATTTGAGGACATATTGCTAAGAGTTTTCCTTATTCTGGGAAGGCACACTGGAACAACCATGTTTTCAGGCTCCTCCTAAAGACTGCCAGCATTGGGGCATGTCTGATGTCCTTGGGAAATGAATTCCAGAGTCGAGAGGCCACCACTGAGAAGGCCCTCTCCCTCATCCCCACCAATCGCGCCTGCGAAGGAGGTGGGAACACGAGCAGGGTCTCTCCAGATGATTGAAGAGATCGTGTTGGTTAGTACAGAGAAATGCGGTCATGCAGGTAGTCGGGTCCCAAACCGTTCAGGATTTTGTAGGTAAGAACCTGCACCTTGAATTGGGACCGGGAAATGAATGGCAGCCAGTGGAGCTCCTTGAACAGGAGGGTTGACCGCCCTCTGTAAGAAGCACCAGTTAGCAACCTGGCTGCCGCCCGTTGTACTAATTGAAATTTCCATGCCGTTTTCAAAGGCAGCATCACATAGAGTGCATTACAGTAATCCAATCTGGAAGTGACTAAGGCATGGATCACCCTGGCCAGATCTGACTTCACGAGGTACGGTTGCAGCTGGCGCACGAGTCTTAATTGTGCAAAGGCCCTCCCGTCCAGCACAGGTTGCCACCCTATACCTCGATCTGGTTTACGATCGACCAGGAGGACCTCTGTCTTGACGGGATTGATCCTCACCTTGTTCCTCCTCATCCAGACAGTCACAGTGGCCAGGCACTCATCCAGCACCCGAGGGGCTTCCTTGGAGTTAGGTGGAAAAGAGTAGTAGAGTTGCGTGTCATCTGCATAGAGATGGCACCGAACTCCAAAACTCCGGATGACCTCTCCCAGCGGTTTTATGTAGATGTTGAAAAGCATGGGGGACAGAATGGAACCTTGCGGGACCCCATAGGTCAAAGGCCAGGGGTCCGAGCAGGTGTCTCCCAGCTTCACCATCTGGGAATGACCCTCCAGGAAGGACCAGAGCCACAACAGAGCCGTACCCCCAAGGCCCATCCCGGAGAGTCGTCCCAGAAGGATACCATGATTGATGGTATCGAAAGCCGCTGAGATGTCCAAGAGAACCAACAGTGTCACACTCCCCCTGTCCAGTTCCCTGTGGAGGTCATCTACCAAGGCGACCAAAGCCATCTCAGTACCATGACCAGGCCTGAAGCCAGACTGTGACTGATCCAGATAGTTGATGTCATCCAGGAAATCCTGGAGCTGAGAGGCGACTATCTGCTCCAGCACCTTGCCCAAAAATGGGAGGTTGGAGATAGGTCTGTAATTGCTCAAGACTGTGGAGTCAAGGGAGGCTTTTTTCAGGAGTGGTCTAACCACAGCCTGTTTCTGCCCAGATGGAAAAATCCCTTGCTCCAAAGATGTATTAATGATCAATACAAACCAATCAATCAAACCACCTCTGACCGATTTAATTAGCCAAGAAGGGCAAGGGTCCAGAACCAATGTGGTCGCCCTCACAGCCCCAAGGACCCCCTCCATGTCCTCAGGAAGAACAATCCAGAAAGAATCCCACAAAACTGGACAAGCAGATGCCTCGGTCACCTCCCCTGGCACTGTATTTAAACTGGTGTCCAACTCAAGGTGTATCTGAGCGACTTTATCTGCAAAATGGTGCGAGAACTCGCAGCACCGAGTTGTCAGTTGTCAAAGGTTTCCTCCATCCCAGGGGGGTGAAGGAGCTCCCCAATGACCTGAAACAACTCCGAAGATCTATTAGATGCAGACACTATACGGACAGTCAGGAAGGCCTCCCTGGCTACCCGTATAGCCGCGGTATAGGTCCTAAGTGAGGCTCTAGCCCGTGTTCGGTCAGGGACACTCTGAGATTTCCTCCAGATGCACTCTAGTCTGCTTCTAGTCTCCTTCATCACAGCCAACTCCCCAGTAAACCAAGGAGATGGTGTGTCTCTGCGCAACGAGAGGGGATGTTCGGGAGCGATCGTGTCTATCACCCTGGCCATCTCGCTGTTATAGCAATCACCCAGGGCGTCGACAGGATCACCAGGTTCCATGACAGGAAGAGCCCCGAGATTCCTCAGGAATCAGTCTCCTGGGGCGGACCATCTTAGTTGGTCCTCCACCCCTGCGAAGGTTAGAGGTCACAGCAAGTCTAAAACTGATCAGATGATGGTCAGACCATGACAATGGAAGAATTTTTTGCTCTTCCAGTCTGACCATTCCACTGTTCACAACAATAGCTAGGTCGAGTGTATGTCCAGCCTGATGGGTGGGTCCAGATATAATTTGTGATAGCCCCATGGTCGTCATGGTGACCATGAAGTCTTGAGCCACTCCTGTTAAAGTGGTCTCTGCATGAATGTTAAAGTCTCCCAGACCAGACCACACCTGCTAGCTCAGGAAGGGATACTGCTGAGTCGTGAGGTGGACGGTACACCAGCAGAATCCCCAAGCTATCACAGTTTCCCATCCTCAGGTAAACACACTCAAACCCTGAAGATTGCGGTACAGCGCATCTGACCACAGTGATGGACTGCCGAACGTCTACTGCGACCCCTCCTCCCCGCCCCCCAGACCTAGCCTGCTGGTGCACCCCAAAACCAGGTGGGCACAGCTGGGTGAGATTTACCCCACTCAGCTTGGCCAACCAGGTCTCAGTGATGCAAGCCAGGTCCACCCCCTCATCCAGGATCAGGTCCTGGGTGGCAGCAGTCTTTCCATTGATGGATCTGGTGTTTACCAGCAGGACCTTAAGTCCGGGGGGTCTGTCATGGAGTCTACCACATCCTACCTTCTCCAGGGTCGCAAGAACTCTGTTGCGCTTCTCCCTGGTATGTTGGTGACCAGCAAATTTTCTTCCCCACATGACCTGAATGGATATTATTTATCTTTGTAAAAAGATAAATAATATCCTAATTTTAATATGTATATCATATGAATCACCTGGTCAAGTTATTGAATTTTCAGGTATACCGTTTTCAGCTAGTCTCATTGATTTGAGTAGAACCCATGTGTTAGGATTTTCTTGCCCATAAAAGAACTGTGCACATACATGCTTTACAACCACTTTTGGCTTTTGACCTCCATTCCTTCATGACTGATACATCCATGTGCAATTGATGAAGCATTATGAAAAAGGACATGTTCACAATCATACGAAGAATTGCAACAAGATTATATCTATATTGTGTTCTGACACAAACATGTTTGATTGACAACTTAGACTGAGTAGGCAATAGGTACAATTTAATTTGTAACTCACTCCTGAAGACTTAAGAAGGGAACCAATGAATTTAAAGTAGGGAGTTTAAACTGGTTTTACTATACCATGCTAGCACGTGCAGCTCATCCATCTATCACTCTCAGAAGAACCATTTTTAGAGGACCTGTAACATCAACAGGTCAAATCAACAATTCACATTGGGGTCCAAAATTAAACTGAATTACAGAACCAGATTGATGCAGAGTGTCTATCCTTCTGATTGAAATTCTGGAACAAACCATTTCCAAGTAGCATGAAAGACTCTAGTTATTATGCATTTCAGAATTATTCCATTCATCACTGACAGAGATAAGAAGACAAACTTGGTTCTGTCTGCTTTAATAACTGGTGGTGATTTTCTGTACTTTAAGAGGTGCTATGGAAAAGTGAGATTGTAGTCTTATAAACATTTACCAGGGAAAATATTTTATTAAATTCAGTATAGCCTACATTCTCTGAGTAACTATATACAGGATTGCACTGAAAGAGAATGAGATATAAATTATGATTAAACGTAAAGGTGCCTCCACACTGTGGTAAAGTAGTGTCAAACTGCAATGGCTTGGTGTAATGGAATTCTGAGAGTTGTAGTTTGGGGAAGCTAAAGATTTTATAAAACTACAGCTTCCATGATTCCATTGCACAGTGCTATGGCAGTTAAAGTGGTATCTAACAGCATTAATTCTACATGGTAGAGGCACCCTTCGTTGCCACTGCACTTAATTAAGAAGAATGAAGACCTAATTCTTCACCAAGGTCTTTTGGAACTGATTGTGCTATGCACTTTGAGAATGATGATTTTAGCCTTTGATCTGACATATTTTCCATTGTTATTATGAATTGGTTGTTGCATGTGTTTTAATAATAATATTTTAATACTTTTATTGGTTTTCCTTTTAAAAATTCTGATTTTAAAGAGATTTTATATACAAAAAAGAATATAAACAATAGACTGCAAACAAAGAAAGTGATTAATTCAAAAACAAGAAACAATACAAGTCACAACCCACCACAATTTTTAAAAGAACAAAGAACAACTAACTTCCAGCAAGCTTGATGATGATTATTATATAGAACAAAATAAAACCAGCAAATGAACTTCTACTACTGAAATTATTCAACTAATCTAATAATCGTTAAAATCAGAGTTCATAGGTTATTCTCATGTCTTTTTTATTTTCACAAAAAACCCCAATGCTTCCCAGTTCTTTGAAAAGCATATGAATGCCCCCCCCCCATCAAAGTTAGTAGCTTGTCCATTTCAGCCAA